CATTGCTGCAGCAGCAACCGCCCCAGCTGCAGCAGCAACAACCATTGCTGCAGCAGCAACAACCATTGCTGCAGCAGCAACAACCATTGCTGCAGCAGCAACCGCCCCAGCTGCAGCAGCAACAACCATTGCTGCAGCAGCAACCGCCCCAGCTGCAGCAGCGACAACCATTGCTGCAGCAGCAAAACCCGCTGCTGCACAAGCAACCGCCCCAGCTGCAGCAACAACCATCACTGCTGCAGCACCGAAACGCGCTGCTGCACAAGCAACCACCCCAAGTGGAGCAGCAAACACCACTGTTGCAGCAGCAAAACCCTCTGGTCCAGCAGCAAACCCAACTGCTGCAGCTGCAACCACCACTGCTGCAGCAGAAGCAACCACCACTGCTGCAGCAACAAGCATCACTGCTGCAGCAACAACCACCACTGCTGCAGCAGAAAACCCCTATGCTCCACCAACAACCATCACTGCTGCAGCAGCACCAACCATCACTGCTGCAGCAGCAGCAACCACCATTGCTGCAGCAGCAGCAACCATCACTGCTGCAGCAGCAGCAACCATCATTGCTGCAGCAGCACCAACCACCACTGCTGCAGCAACAGCCATCACTGCTGCAGCAACAACCACCACTGCTGCAGCAGAAGACCCCTATGCTCCACCGGCAACCACCATTGCTGCAGCCGCAGCAACCACCATTGCTGCAGCAGCAGCAACCACCATTGCTGCAGCAGCAGCAACCCCCACTGCTGCAGGAGCAGCAACCCCCACTGCTGCAGAAGCAGCAACCCCCACTGCTGCAGCAACCGGTAGTGTTGCAACGACCGCTTCAGTAGACAACGAAGTGCGGCAGCTACTGCAACTCCCTGGTGTGCTGCTGCTGCTGATGATGATTCTGCTGCTGTTGTTGCTGCAGTGGCTCGGCCCACAGCAGCAGCACTACTTGGAGCTCCATGCAGGCCAAGGCCTCATGAGAAGCTACAGCAGCAGCAGCAATAGCAACAGCAACAGCTGCAACTAAAGAGACACGGCAGGTGCTGCCTATCTGCGAGAGCTGCAGGTGCTGCTGCTCGCGCAGCAGCAGCAGCACCTGCAGCAGCACGGAGTTTGCGCACTGGCTGCTTTCCTGCCCTCTCCCTGTGTTGCAGCCCGCTGCGTGCTGCTGTACTGCCAGCAGCCCCGCAGAAGCAAAGTCAGCAGCAGCACTGCAGCAGCAACAGCAGAGTAGCAACGACGGCAATTAAGGAAAGGCAGCAAACGCAGCAGCAGCAAATGCAAGCGCAGCAGCAGGGGGTGCTGCAAATGCAGCAGCAGAAAAGTCAGCAGCAGCAAATTGAGCGGCAGCAAACACAACCGCAGCAAAAACAGCAGCAGATGCTGCCCCTTCAGCAGCAAAATCAGCAGCAGCAAATGCAGCAGCTACCCAGGGCGACAACAGCAATAGTAAGTATAACAGCAGCGCCGGAGATGGGAATGTGCAGCGTTCGGGTGCATATATACCTCCACCCCTCCCCTCATAACAGCTGCAGTAGCAGAAACAGCAGCTGCAGCAGCAACAACAACAGCAGCAGCAACAACTGCAGCAGCAACAACAGCACCAACTCCGCCCCTCCCGAAGGCGCTGGTGCCCCAGAAGCAACAGGAGCAGCAGCAGATGCAGCAGCATGTGCAGCAGCAGAAGCAGCTGAAACAGCAGCTGCAGCAGCAAGAGTAGATGCAGCAGCAGCAGCAACAACAACAACAGCTGCAGCAGCAACAGCAGCTGCAGCACAGTTGCCTCGTCGTGCTAGCACGTGAAGCCTGCTGCTTGCTCTCTCGGATTTTTTATTGAAATAAACAAAAAATATAATTAATTTTATTATATAAACAATATTTTTACTTGCATTAGCAGCAATTACTTTTATATTCACCGCCTGCTGCAACCACAGCTGCTCCCGAGCATGCAGCGGCCTCGGGCGTCTGTCTCAGCCTTAAGGCAGCAACAACAGCAGCAGCAGCAGCAGCAGCAACAACAGAAGAAGCCCTGCTGCTGCTGCTGCTAGCAGCAACAACAAATTATCTTAAAGACACATCATAGAAGAAGGAGACACGATAACACCACAGCAGCAACTCATCGTCTGTGTTGCTGTCGGCGCTGCCTTGGGGGCCCCCCAGCCAGCAGCTGCTGCTGCTGCTGTTGTTGCTGTTGCTGTTGCTGTTGCTGTTGCTGCTGCTGGTGCTGTTGCGGTTAACAGAAGGGGTTTCATTGGAGATGAAGCCTCGCCAGCGCAGCACTCCGCCGCTGCAAGGGCGCCGCACCAGCAACCCTTCAGCTGCAGCAGCAGCAGCAGCAGCAGCATCTCAGGCTCAGGGGAAGAACAGCAGCGCGGCAGAATCTGTTACAGAAGCGGCATGCAGCAGCAGCAGCAGCACGAGCCTGCTTGGTCTGTGGCGAAGCGCATGGTGTACGTACACCTCGAAGTACCCGCGGCAGATAAAAGTGCTTGACAGCTTCATCCTTTGGTTGCTGCTGCTGCTGCTGCTGGTGCTGCTGCTGCCACTGGCCTCAGGCACGACCTTCCCTAAGCACGCGTTTATTGCTGCTCTCTTCTCGTGCTGCGGCACCGCAGCACTCACAGGCTGTCTACGCGCCCAGGTACGTGTGTTGCTGCTGCTGCAGCTGCTGCAGCTGCTGCAGCTAGGTGTTGCAGCGGTCTCCTTTGTTCTGCTGCTGCTGCCAGGTGCATTTGCTCCTAGCTTCTGCTGCTACTCGGGGCTGCTGCTGCACCTACCACCTCCTGTGCCTGCTGTTCGGGGCTGCTTGTACGCGCTGTTGTAGCTGCTGCTGTTGCTGCTGCTGCTGCTGCAGCTTGTCAGTCCGGAGACCTTCTCGGTGACGAAGCAAAGAGCGATGATTGATTTCTTCGTGTGCTGCTTAGTGCTGCAGCTTCTCTGCTTCTGCTTCCTCGGGTAGCAGCAGCAGCAGATCTCCCTTAGAGATTTCAGCAGCAGGAGCTGCTGCTGCTGCTTCTGCAGGTTGTGTATCTGTGGCTAGGCTGCATCCGCGTACACCATAAGAGATGAAGCTGCAGCAGCATCAGCTGCTGCTGCAGCGACAGGACCTGCTCCTGCTGTTTCTCCTCGAGCAGCGGCAGCAGCAGCTGTTGGTTCCGCTGCTGCTGCTGCTGCTGCAGCTCCTCGTGCGAGGCGACGACCCCAAACAGCCGAAATCTTTTTTTTTTTAATTTGTTGCGTTTTCTCCTCTTGCCATCGCTTCTGTTGTTGCTGATGCTGCAAAAGGAACAGCAGCAGCAGCAGCTGCTGCAGCAGCAGCAGCTTATGCTGGCCCGTTGGTTTTCCGAGCAAGCGACCTGAGGCCCATGAGTTATGGGGAAGTAGCTAGCTGCACCGCGAGCTAGCCACCTAGCTACCTGGCTAGCTAGACAGATAGCTGCACAGCTAGCTGCCTGGCTAGCTAGCCAGCTAGCTACTTAGCTAGCTGCACAGCTAGCTAGCCAGATAGCTACATGGCTGGCTAGCTAGCTCGGTAGTTAGCTACGTACCTACCAGGCTAGCTGAGTAGCTAGCTAGCTAGCTACGGAAAGCCCTTCACCGATAGGTAGCAGCGGAGCCGCTGCGGGAGTGCTCTGAATGCCGCATGCTGCTGGAGCTGGAGCAGCGGTAAGAGCTGCGAGCCCAATCCTGAGGTGCAGCAGCAGTTGTTGCTCCGGTTGCTGCTGCTGTTGCTGCTGCTGCAGCAGCAGGAGTATCGAAGGCACGCATGTAGCGGCTCCTGTGGGGCGGGGAGGGAGGGCGCATGCCCCTCCTCAATCCTGTGCAGTTTTGCTGCAGTCCGTTTGGCTGTTGCTGCTGCCGTGCTGCTTCCACAGCACCAGCAGCAGCAGCAGGAGCAGCAGAAGGATACGGGTGGCGTCGGCTGCTGTGGTGCTCCCATACCTGCTCTCGTGAGCCTACGTAGCCCCGCTGCTGCTGCTGCTGCTGATCCTGCTGCTGCCTGTGGTAGCCTAGGTTGCTGCTGTGTCTGTGGTGCTCAACAGGGGGAGGGAGAGGAATGATGCGGATAGGCAGCGGCCTGGAGCTGCGTGGCTGCTGCTGCTGCTGCTGCGGTTCGTGTTCCTGCTGCCGGCGCCACCGCTGCATTTGCTGATAGTCGCTGTATCGCTCATCGCTGCGCTCCTGCTGCTGCTGCTGCTGCTGCTGGCGGCGCGGGTCGGCGTGCGGCTGCCAGGTGTCTCTGTACCGGCCTGGGGCTCTGCTGCAGCAAGGAGACACAGAGCGGCTGCTAGGCAGCAGATTTTTGCTGCTCGCGCGATCTGCTGCTGCGCGTCTCCAACTTTGCTGCTGCCCTCTCTCCAATGTCTCCCCTGAATGCTGCTGCAGATGCTGCTGCTGCAGGTGCTGCTGCTGCAGGTGCTGCTGCTGCAAGTGCTGCTGCTCCAGGTGTTGTTGCTGTGGTTGGTGCTGCTGCTGTGGATGGTGCTGCTGCTGTTGTAGCTGCTGCTTCCGTGGGCCGCCTGCTGCACCTTCTCGCCTCTCGGGGCTGCGGAGGCGCTGCTGATGCCGCTGCTGCTGCTGGTGCTGCTGATACCGCTGCTGCTGCTGCTGCTGCTCTCGCCAAGGACGGTAGCCGGGGTGTTGGCTTCGATCTTTATGCTGCAGCGAGGTTTGCTGCTGCTGCTGCTCTGCTGCTCCGCAACGCTCGTCCTGCTTCTGGCTGTCGGGCAGCAGCTGCTGCTTCTCTTGCTGTCGTTCTCGCTGCTTCTCGTGTCGCTGCTGCTGTTGCTTCTCATGCTGCTGCTGCTGCGGCTTCCGTTGCTGCTGCGGTTTCTGCTTTTCCTGCTGCTGTGTCTGCTGTTTCCCCTGCCAGTCTTGCTGCGCGCTGCAGCTGCTGCTCCGGGAGGGGTTTATAATGATATTGCTTCCAGATCTCGAGCTGCGCTGCACCAGCTGCTGCTGCTGCACCAGCTCCTGCTGCTGCACCAGCTGCTGCTGCTGCTGTTGTTGCAGCTCCTTCCTTGCACCCTCACCGTGCTCATACGATGTATTGGCGAAGCGCCGTCCCGGCTGGTCATGCTGCAGCTGCTGTTGTTGCTGCTGTTGCTGCTGCTGCTGCTGCCTCCCGCTTATCACCAAATTCCCCCACTCTCGAACGTGCTGCTGTGCCTCTTCCCTTCGCTGCTTCGGCGGTTGCTGCTGCTGCTTCGCTTGCATTTGCTGCTGCTGCTGTTGCTGCTGTTGCTGCTGTTGCGGCCCGTGCTTCCGTGGCGGTGAGGTATCTCTGGAGCGGCTGCTGCTGTAGCCGCTGGCAGGTGTTGCTGCCCCTTTCGTGTTGGTTTCTTGCTGTTGCAGCTGCGGTTGTTGCTGTAGCTGCTGCTTTTGCTGCTGCTGCTGCTGCTGCTGCTGCTTGTCCTGCTGCGCGTTCCTCGCCGTATGCTGCTGCCCCCTCCAGGAGGTAAAGGGAGACGAAGAGTAGACAAGGCAGGCATTGCTAGACCCTGAAGCAGCAGCAGGAGCAGCAGGAGCAGCAAGAGCAGCAGCAGCAGCAACAGGAGCTGCAGCAGCAGCGGGTGGTGCGCGAGGAGCCAAAATTAACGGAGGAGGCGGCGGGTGCGTGGAAAAAGAAGACCGCAGAGGAGCAGCAACAGCTGCAGCAGCAGCAGGAGCAGCAGCAGCAGCAGCAGCAGCAGGAGGAGCACCAGCAGAAGCAGCAGCAGCAGCAGGACCTGTTGCGACCGCTGCTGCACAGCGAGGGCGGAGCCGAACTACGTGTTTCTCGTTGCTGCTGCTGCGTCTCCTTAATGCTGCATGCGAATGCGCAGTATATTCCCCAGACAGCCCTGAGCAGCAGCAACAGCAGCAGCAGCAGCAGCAATGACACCAGCAGCAGCAGCAGAAGCAGCAGCAGCAACGAACACAGAAGGGAGCAGCGATACTCAAGAAGCGTATGCTAAGCATTGTGGTTGTGCGAGTATTACTGCTTTTTCTTTCTGCTGTTGCATGCATCTGCTGCTGCAGCCCGGCTCTTCTGCTGCTGCTGCCGGTGCCTCACCTGTTGAATTGCTACTCCTTAGAGTTGCAGCATATGCAGGACTTCCCCACGGCATCATTTGCTGCGGCTGCTGGCTGCTGTGAGGGGCCGCCGATAAGACGGCGCGCCTCTCGGCTGGCGGTAAGAGCCTCACGCTGCTGCTGCTGCTACTGCTGCTATTGTTGCTGCTGCTGCTGTTGCTGCATCGTTGTTGCTTGGGGCTCCTTTCGCACTCCTCCCAGGCCTCAGAAGCCGTAGCTGCAGCACACCACACAGAGGAGAGTCTAAACGCTGCAGCACGAGCAGCAGAAGGGCAGCAGCAGCAGTAGCAAACAGCAGCACAGATAGGCAGCAGCTGCATAAGCCTGCTGCAGCAGCACACCGCCACCAAGGAGCAGCAGCTGGAGCAGTCAGGAACAGAGGGAGCATGCAGCAGCGGCAGTAACAAGATGAACCAGCAGCAGCGGTATGCAGAAGCAGAAGCAGCAGCAGCAGCAGCAGCAGCAGCAAACTGCATGCAGCGTACCCTCTCCGTACGTCCGTTTGCTGTTTAGAGGCCTCTGCTGCTCCTCAGAGCTGCTTCGGGCCCTTAGCAGCGCCCGCGGGTGTCTTCGCTCATGCAGCACCACTGTCACCTGCCGCCTCAGATGTTGCTGCTGCTGCTGTTGCTGCTGGATAGAGTGCTCCCGCCGTGGCTGCAGCAGCACACGGGGGCGGACGCCTTGAGCTACCCACTCATCCCTGGGGCAAGGGGCCCCACCGGGGGGGCTCAACTGCACAGGTCGAAGGCTCCTCTGCTGCTGCTGCTGCTGTTGCTGCTGCTGCTGCTGCTTCTCGGAAGGGTACAGCTGCAGCGGCTGCTGCTGCTGCTGCAGCACCTCCAGGCGCTGGTGCGTGAAGTTTGCCTGCAGAGACACCCGAGAGACCTCCCGCGAGCTGTCGGGGGGGCCCCCACGGGGGTGCAGCAGGGAGGGCTGCCGCTCCTGCTGCTGCTGCTGCTGCTGCAGCTGCTGCGGTGGGTAGTTGAAATGAGAGGGTTGTCTGCCGGCGCAGCGGACACTATCTTCTTTAGGAGCGCCGGAAGAGTCACTGAGAGGCTCATAGCTGCTGCTCATGCCGTTGCTTCTGCTGCTGCTGCTGCTGCTGCTGCCGTTGCTGCTGTGGTAGGGGTTGTGGTAATGATGCCAGCTGCTGCTGCTGCTGCTGCTGAGATGCTTGTGCTGCTGTGAGTTTAGGAGAGGCGGGGGAGGAGGAGGTACTGGGGGCCCCTCTGCTGCGCTAGGTTCAGGATAGCGTCGGCTGCGGCCCAGAGCTGCAGCAGCAGCAGCAGCTGCTGCTGCTGCTGCTGCAGTTGCTGCATCAACGGCTCTGGCTGTCTCGTCGCGTGTATGCCTGTCCGATGAGGGGCGCCACATGTTGTTGCAGCTGCTGCAGTTGCTGACACTGCTGCTTCTTCAGTCGTTGTCGTTGTTGTTGTTGCTGCTGCTGCTGTTGCTGCTGTTGCTGCTGCTGCTGCTGCTGCTGCCGCGAGGTCACTGGCGATCCCCTTACCGGAACGCGGCCTTAGGAAGAGCCCAAGAGGCTGACAGCAGCAGCAGCAGCAAGCCTAATCCATAAGATTGCTGCTGCTGTCTTTGTATGTAATATTTCAAAAGCGTCAGCTGCTGCTGCTGCTGCGGTTGCAGCAGCAGACGGTGCTGCCGGTGGTGCTTCTGCTGCAGCAGAGTTGTCTCGCCTAAACCAAAGTATTGAGCGCGCTGCAGCAACGAGCATCAGATTAACTGCATGTACACCCAATAATATTCGTAAGAAGGAGAATTACCTGACCTCCGTTGATGCAGCAGCAGGGACGGAGCCTGCGGCGGCGGCAGCGGCAGCAGCAGCAGCAGCTGCTGCTGCTGCAGTGGCTGCATGCAGCAGCAGCGGCAGCAGCAACTTGACAAGGGAGCCCACTCTTCAAGTAATGAGGAATGTTGCTAACACTTTGACAAGCTGCTTATCATGCTGTTCAACTCGCTTAACTGAGTCTGCCTGTGTTCTGCTGCTGCTGCTGCTGCTGCAGCAGCAGCAGCGGAAAGGAGAGCTGGGCCTTCCTTCCTTTACTGATCTCTTTTGGAGTCTTAACAGCATCCAGGGGTCTTGTTGAGGACGGGCTGTGGCAGTAACTGCAGCAGCAGCTGCAGCAGCAACGGCAGCAGGAGCTGCAGCAGCGTGTGCAGCAGCCTCCTCAATTGAGAGACTTCGAGGTGCTCTTACGAGTCCTGCTGCTCTCCTTTTTCTGTTTATGCTGCTGGTGCTGCTGTCTCCGCTGTTGTTGCCTTTGGCGCTCCTGCTGCTGTTCTAACGTCGATTGCTGCTGCTGCTGCTGCTGTTTCTGCTTCGATATTCGCTGCTGCTGATTGCACTTCGATTGCTGCGGCATCTGCTGTTTCTGTTTCTACTGCTGCTTCTGTTGCTGCTGCTGCCTTGTACTGCAGAAGGGCTGGAGCTTTGTCGTGTTGGCGTTGTTAGCGGCCTTCGCTAAGGTTCGCAGTGGTAGCATCCCTTGCTGCTGCTGCTGCTGCTGCTGCTGCAGTTTTTCTTAACCTCTTGTGCCGCTGCAGCAGCAGCAGCAGCAAGTGCTGCATGCCCACATGCTGGCGCCCAACTCCTCTGCCTTCGGGCCCCCACAAGCCGCCAGGTGCGGCAGCAACTGAGGAAGCAGAAGCCTCAGCAGCAGCAGCAGCAACAACACCAGAAACAGCAGCAGCAGCACCACCACCACTACCAGCAGCACCACCTGCACCATCAGTGACACCAGTAGCAACAGCAGCAACAGCAGCAGCAGCAGCACAAGAAGCAGCAGCTGCTGCAGACGAGTTCATAGTGTTGTACGTGTTTGCAGCTTGAAGGTTTCGTGGAGCTGTCACGTTGGCGTTCCCTGTGGGGAAGGTGTTGGCGGAGCAGCAGCAGCAGCAACAACAGCAGCAGCAACAGACGCAGCAGCAGCAGCAGCAGCATGGAAAGCTGTATCTGCAGACTTTGCTGCTGATGGATCTTTGCTGCTGCTTGCTGCTGTCGGCGGTGCCGAGGGAAGTAATGCGAAGCTGCTGCTGGTAGACCTGAAAACCGGATGGTGAGGAGTTGCTGCTGCTGGTGCTGCAGTTTCTGCTGCTGCTCTGGCTGCTGCAGCAAGGCGTGGCAGAGACAACCAGAGGAGACAGCAGCAAAGTGCGATGAGAGAAGCAGCATCTAGAAGTGCTGCTGCTGCTGCTGCCTGCTGTGTTGCTGCCGCGGGTGTGCTGCTTGAAGCTTGACAGCATGCGCACCTGTGCTGCAGCTGTTGCCGCTGTTGCTACTGCTGCTGCGGTTGTTGCTGCTGCTGCTGCAGCGTCGCGCGGGTGTACGACTGCCCCGAAGGCGGCGTCGCATGCGCGCTTTTTGTGGCCTTGTCAACAGCAGAGTGCCTCATTGGAGGTGCTGAAGCAGATGGTGAGCTCGCCTGTTGCTGCTGCTGCTGCGGTTGCTGCTGTGGCTGCTGCTGCAGCAGCTGCTGCTGTTCTTATGCACTTCTTCCTGCTTCCGCAGGTTTAGTGCTGTGCAAATGTCGGTGCCGCTCCCCACTGCTGCAGCTGCTCAACAGCAACAGCAGCAACAACAGCAACAGCAGAGGCAGCAGCACTAGGATTACTTGCTGCCGCCACATCGGATGTTGCTAAGTTCGTTCGTGGTGGTGGTGCTGCTGCTGTTGTTGTTGCTGCTGCTGATGCTGCCTGTGCTGCGCCTGTTTCAGCTTGTGTGCGGCTGTGGGACTTGAACAGCAACAAACTTGTCTGCGCATACCCTCTGCCTGCTCCGTGAGTAACACGTGCAGCAGCAGCAACAGCAGCAGCAGCAACAACAGCAGCAGCAGCAGCAGTAGACGAGCGAACAGAGGTAGCAAGAGATGTGCAGGTGCAGCCAACGCGCGGCGGACACTGCAGTAGCAGCAGCAGCCACAGGAAGGCGTCAAACGGAGTGTTGCTGCTCTTACAGCTGCTGCTGCTGCTTCTGCTTCTGCTGCTGCTGCTGCTGCAGTCTGATAGGATGTGAGGGTGTGATGGCTCATCCTCGTCAGCGCCTCTTTCTGGCTAGCTGCAACGACGGCACGGTTTTGCTGTTTGATTTAAAGCAAACGCAGCCTTTGGTGAGGAAGGGGCTGTTGTGTCTTCTTGCTGCTGCTGCTGCTGCCGCTGCTGCTGCTGCTGCTGCTTTGCATGTGTCTTCCGCTCTCGATGGCCTTTGTTCGATTCTTCTTCGTCTGCCAGTCTGCTGCACATGAGCTTCGAGGCCCTTTTCAGCTCCCAACTGCAGCAGCAGTAGTAACTGCTGCTACTGTGGCTGCTGTTGCGGCCGGACCAGCTGCTGCTGCAGTCTGTTGTTCCAGGGCCGTGTGGCCTTGCTTGCTGGCGCGTATGTTGAGTGGCTGCTGCTGCTGTTGCTGCTGCTGTTGCTGCTGGTGGTGGTGTTTCTTACGCGTGCATGAAAACCTGGGGAGGTTCTTTTATGGTTCAGGGTTTACACTTTAGGTTCTAGGGTTTTGTTCAGCGTTTCAGATTTAGGATTTAGGGTTTAGGGTTTAGGGTTTGGGGTTTAGGGTTTGGGTTGTGCTTAGGCGGGCATGAGTTGCAGCAATCCGCGGCCAGCAATTGCCTTCGACTTTGAGGGCCTCGTTTTTGCTGTCGCGCGCTCCTCTACCCACGTGCATCTCGTGAACAGCGAGCTTACAGACCTTGTTAGTTGCTGCTGCTGCTGCTGTTGGTGCTGTTGGTGCTGCTGTTGTTGGTGCTGCTGTCGCTGCTGCTGCTGTTGCTGTTGCTGCTGCTGCTGTGAGTGCCGTTGCTGCTGAGTCTAGAGAGTTGAGAGTTTCTTCATGGAGCGCAGCAGCGGCTGTGGGTGCGCTGGAGTTGCTGCTGGTTGCTATCAGCAGCATCAGCAGCAAAAGTAGCATCAGCAGCAACAACAGCGCAGTGCCACTGCCACTCTCTGCAGGAACGAGGAGAAAAGCCTGTTTTGATGTGCTGCATTTGCTGCTGCTGCTGCTGTTTTGCTGCTGCTGCAGCAGGAGTTCTCTGCCTTTGACCTGTCCGCCTCTCTAGGACCCGGCGGCTCCATCGCTGTAAGTAGCAGCAGATGCTGCTGCACACCCCTCCCGCTGTTGGAGGCCTCTGCTGCTGGTTTTGCTGATAACTGTTGGCGGTGCTGCTGCCGCTGCTGGTACTGCGGCTGCTGGTGGTGGCGGTGCTGTTGCTGTTGTTGTTGCTGCTGCTACTGCTGCTGATTGTGTTGCCGTTGCTTCTGCTGCTGCCGCTGCCGCGGTGTGCAGATGCTGCAGGTGGAGGAGCAGCATGTGCTGCTGGTTGTGGCCTAGTTTGCTGCAGCAGGTGTCTTTTGTTTGTTTGCATTTGGGGTGTATGTACAGAGTCTCTGCTTCAGCCCCAACGGAGATGCAATTGCTGTCTCTACACACAACCAGCAGTTGCTGCTAGTTAATGCTTTTGAAGGCACCACAGTGCGTCGCCTTTGCTGTCTGTACACCCCAGACTGCTAGGGGACGGCTGCAGCTAGCTAGCTGGCTGGCTACCTGCAGCAGCCGTCCCCTAGCCATCGAGCTGGCCGTTGAGTTCAGTAGCTAGCTAGCTAGCTATCCAGTCAACTCAGTTGCTTAGCTGAGGCTAGCGGCTCGCCACCCGTTGTGCAGCTTCCCACAGCTATTATTCAGAGGGGCCCCTTGTAGCAAAAGCTGCTGCTAGCGAAGAAGACGAGTTAGCGCTGCAGCTGCTGCTGCAGCTGCTGCTGCAGCAGGAGAGAGCACCGAGCGCAGCACAAGCAAGGCGTTGCAGCTACCACTGGAACTCTTCCCTCCGTCTCTTCCCGCCCATGATCTTGAATTTTGCTGCTGTTGCTGCTGATGTTGCTGCTGCTGTCGCTGCTGCTGCAGATGGCGAAGCTGTGCGGCGCTTCTGGTGCTGGAGACCTTTCAATTGGGGGTTTGTGCAGCCCCTCATTCTCATTGAACAGTTTGCTGCTCTTCTGGTCTCGGGGCTCCTCTCTCGCTGCTTTCCGCGTGCCCTCTTCAGCAGACTGCAGCGCCACGCAGCAGCAGCAGCAGCAGCAGCAGCAGCAAGATCTTGCAGCAGACCTGCTAGTCGCAAGACACGCGGGACACGCGGAACCCATTTCCATCGTCAAGGCCTCCCCTACGCATGTTCTTGTCCTTACAGGTATGCCCTTCTAGCTAGCTAGCTAGCTAGCTATTTAAGTAGCTAGCTAACCATCTAGCCAACTAGCTGGCTAGCTAACTAGCCATCTAGCTTGATAACCATCTGACTAGCTAGCTAAACCCCATCTCGCCAGCTAGTTAACTACCTAACTAGCCATCTAGCTAGCTAACCATTTAGCTAGCTAGATAAGTAGCCAAATAGCTACCTGGCTTGCTAACTAGCCATCTAGCTCGCTAAGCATCCAACTAGCAAGCTAACCATCTAATCAGTCAGCTAACGAGCTAACCAGCCACCTAGATGGCTTCCTAGCTAGCTAGCTCACGATCTGGCTAGCTACCTAGTTATCTAGCTAACGATATAGCTGGCTAGCTGTCTAGCTAGCCAGCCATCTAGCTTGCTAACAATCTAGCTAGCTAGCTAACCATATATCCAGATAGCTAGCTAGCTATCTAACTAGGCATCTACCTTGCTAACAATCTAGCTAGCTGGCTGACCCTCTGGCTAGCCACCTATCTATGTCGCTAGCTAGCCACCCATTTGGCCGCTTAGCTAGCTAGGTAGCTAGATAACTAGCCATCTAGATAGCTGTTTGGGACAGCGTACAGAAGCTGCAAGGCAGCAAAAGCTGCTGCTGAATGTGCTTCTGTGCTGCCTGCTGCAGTCGCTGGAGGTGTGGTGGCCTTATGGCAGCCGGCGCCGCAGCTGTAGGGAACTGCAGCAGCAGCAGAAGCAGCAGCGGCTCCCCTGCAGCAATAGCCGCTGCTGCTGCTACAGGGGAGAGGTGCGCAGCAGAACACGCAGGTGAAGGAGGGGAGAACAGCAGCAACAGCAATCGGAGGGGCAGCACAAGCTAGGGAGACGGAGTAGCAGCAGCTTCTGTAGCAGCAGCTTGCATGAAACGTGCAGGCCGCAGCAGACACAACTACTGCTTCTGTCTTCCGTCTGTGTGAGCAGCAACAGTAGCAGCTGCATGTAGGGGCGAGAGACACCCCGAGGGGCAGACAGTGCAGCAGAGGAGACACAAGACCCACAGTCTCCAGCTGCTACGCCGGACCTCAGCAGCAGCAACAGGAGCAGCAGCAGCACAGCAGGAGCAGCGGCAGCTGCGGCTGGCGTCAGCTGCTGCTGCGACAGTAGCTGCATCTTAGCTCATTCATGAGTTGTTGTCTATCGTTTCAGCTCTGGCCTTAGTTTATTTGGATCTAATAACAAAACCCCCCCAACACTATTCTTTTAATATGAGAACAAGACTGCGTTCTGCCGCAGCAACACGGTGCTGCTGCTGCTGCTGCTGTTGCTGCTGCTGCTGCTGTCGCTGCTGCTGCTGGTGTTGCTGTTACTGGTGTTGCTGCTGTTGCTGCTGCTCGGAAACCCCACAGCAGCAACAAGAGCCAGAGGGGCCCCCTGCTTGTCCCCTCATTGCTGTTTGCTTTATAGGGTTAATTAAAGCCTCTTCTTTTTAGATTCTCTAGGGTTTAGGGTTTAGGGTTTATGCTGCAGCTGTTTTGAAGCCTGATTATTACTCACTTCGTGGGGCGAAGCAGCGCAGACACTTCCCGACATTCTGCTGCTTCTTTTCTGCAGTAGCAGCAAACGCTTCAGCATAGATTGCATGCGGCTGTACTGCTGCCCCGAGCTGTGGGGCCCCCTGAGGGGCTTCTATGAATGCCTAGGGCCCCGTGCGGGGGCTTCTATTTGCTGATTTTTGTTTTAGCTGCATTGAATAGAATCTTCAGGGGGATAGCTATGAGGTGTAGGTGGTCTCTAGCGATTGTATAGGCGTTAAGGGTTTAGCGTTTAGGGTTTAGGGTTTCGAGCTCTGGGGGGTGCAGGCGTCTTTTTGTTGCCTTGTTACTTCGGGGATCCGATCCCGCGTCGCTGTGGAGCAGCAGGGGATCGATCGATCCCGGCAGTTTCTGTTTGTGGGGTTTTTTATTGTTTACTGTGGAGGTTTCAAGGGGGGTTGCTGCTGCAGCGGAGTGGCCGCACGGGGATCGGGGAGGAGGTCGATCCCCTGGATACGACGGCAGTGAAATAGCAGCTTAAAGGAGGCCTGTATGGTGCAGCAACCTCTTGTGGGGTTGAAACTGAGACGAGAAGGAGACAACAGCAATGGAACGCAGCGGCTAGCTGCTGCTGTTCGGGGCCTGCAGCTGGGGGGGCGCAGGAGCGGTTGTACGGGTCTTGCGGGCGTTGTTAGAGGTAATGAGGGGCTTATATAAAGAAAAATAACTATTAAAGGAGCTTGCTTAGAGAACATTTCTACAAAAAGATAAAGGAGAGAACTCCCTTCAACGAAATTCTACTGCAACACGAGATTATGTCCTTTCGCTGCCGCGCAGCAGCAGCAGCAGCAGCAGCCGCACAGCAGCAGCAGCAGCAGCAGCAGCAGCAGCAGCAGCTCCCAGCAAATTGCTGCTCTACTAGGCCCAGGCGGCTGAAGGGCTGCATTGAGAGGCATGTTTGTGGCGGTTTGTGATTAGAAAGAGTAAAACAAACAAATAATTGTCTATTTAAACAAACAAACGAGCGCAGTAGACCCAGCAGAAGCTTCACCTCTTCTCCTCTAACTATAAGGCCGCCGCCTCCGTGCTCTATAAGACCGCCCCAGGTTTGAGGGGTATCTTATAGGTTTTTAGGGTTTGTTTGTTGGTTGTTTTGTGTATTTACTACACAAAAAAGACAAACAAATCTATTTTATCTGCACTCTCTCTTCACCGCCCTCCTTTGTCTGCGTATATACACCGCGCAGCATAGCGGGAGCTATCGATATAGCCAGGCCTTGGGTTCTTCTTTGCTGCTGCTTCTTCTTGTTCTTCTTCTCATTCTTCTTCTCTCTCCTAAGATAAAACGGCGAAGAGGTTTTACTCTCCTCTTAGCCTTTTACTGAGCTGCTGCTGCCTTCATTGCAGCAAGCGAAGGGGCGTTGCTGTTGGTTTCGTAGCTGTCGCTCTTGCTGGAGACCTTATGCAGCAGCTGCTGCAGCTGCTGCTGCTGCTGCTGCTGCCTCCCCTGGTGCTGCTGCTCCCTTTCTCATTGTTATCCCCAGCACCAAAGCTCGTAGCAAACCCCTAAACAGCCGCTAACCCCTCGGACCTCCTCCGCGGGCCACAGCGGCATTGGTGCCGGCAGCAGCAGCAGCAGCAGCAGCGGCTGCAGCAGCTGCAACTGCTGCATCGGTAACTGCAGCTGGAGTAACAGCAGTTCAACAGCAGCAGTACGAAGGTTGCTGCAGGATGCCGTTGTGCTGCCTCTGAAGCCATACAGGTCAGGGCTGAAGAAGCACGCGGTGTACATACACCGGAAAGAAGTGCATCCGTTCTATGGACGCTAGATGTTCATTGCTTAAGACCCAACCTACACTGTATTTCTTTCTTCTGTCTTGCAGAGAGGGTCTCCTCTGTTGCAGCGTGTTGGGGATCGATCGATCCCAGCCCCTGGAGCGCTCCCCACGACGATGGCCGCGTCGCGGAGACCGGCCCTCCAGCTGTCCTAGGTAGCGAAGCTGCAGCAGCAGCAGCAGCAGCAGCGGCACGAGCAGCACCAGCGGCACGAGCAGCAACAATAGCAACAACAAGAAGAACAGCAGCAGCAGCGGCAGCAGCAGCGGCAGCGGCAGCAGCAACAGCCACGGCACCGCGAGCAGGAAGAGAAGCGGCAGTGGCAGTAGCAGCAGCAGCAGCAGCAGCAGCAGCAACCACACAAGACGTAGCAGCGTTTCAGGTCCTCTGTTTTCTTTTGTTTTACAAATGCTAACAGGCGGTCATTTAGGCTTGAGGGCCTCCAGCCCCCCATCCCCGCGCGTAGGGGGGCCCCCTGGGGGCCCCTCTCAGGTGTCTGGCGAAGGAGATGGGGGGCCCCCTAGGGCCTCCTCAAAGGAAGCTTTGGGCTTAGAAGTAGGGGGCGCGTGCTGGCCGTGCACGCCGCAGCAGCTGCTTCCTGCTGCAGCTCTGGGGGGCCCCCCTCCTGTGTGTGTTGCTGCAGGGGGGCCCCCCTCTCCTCAGTGGGCCCCTGTCTCTACCCCTGCTGCTGAACTAGGGTCTGACCAGCGTCTGTCTCTTCTCAGCACTGCGAGCGAAAGCACTGCAGCGCCGCTGGCGAGGGGGCCCCCCCCTAGCTCACCAGAGGGGCCCTTGGGGGCCCCACCAGCGAGGCCCCCGACTGAGAGCCAGGACCCATCATCACGCGAAACCCCAAGGTCTAGTGCTGCAGGGGCCCCTGTCTTTTCTTCTAGTGGAATGGCTTGCGAGCAGGGCAGTGCCTCGCAGCAGCAGCAGCAGCAGCAACAGCAACAACAGCAGCAACAACCGCAGCCGCCGCAGCAGCAGCAGCAGCTCGCGCTGATGCCCCACGACCCACCTCAGCAGGGGCAAGAGCAGCAGCATCAGCCACAGCAGCAGCCGCCACACCAGCAGCCACACCAGCAGCAGCAGCAGCAGCAGCAGCACCTATCGCGCTTGTTCATTGAGACTGAACACAACGGGCACCAGCAAGAGGGCCCCACAGACAGAGGTCTGCTGCTGCAGCAGGGGCGTCCCTTTTGCTTTGAGGAGACGGCCGGCGCATACAGAGCGACCCCGCAGCAGCAGCTGCAGCAGCAGTTGCAGCACCAACTGAATCAACACCAACAGCAGCAGCAGCAGCAGCTCTTTCCCCCTCACAGTGGCCTCGCACTGCCTGCCCTTCAGCAGCGACTGTGCAAGAATGCTGCAGGAAGTGACAACGCCTTCTTGGGGCCGGGTTAGTTGTTCTTGCTGCTGCTGCTGCTGCTGGCGTTGCTGCTTGTGGTTCTGGCTGCTGGTGCTGGTTCTGCTGCTGTGGTTGCTTCTGCTGTTGTGGTTTTTGCCGTTCCTTCTATTGCAGTTGCTGCTGCTGCTGCTGCTGCTGCTGTGGCTTTTCTAGGCTCTGCTGTCGCAGTTGCTGCACTTGCTTGTTCTGCTGCTACTGTTGTGCCTTTTGCCACTAATGCATTTGCTGCTGCTGCTTCTCGTTGAGCAGGACGAAGACAACATGGGCTGCTGCTTTGGGTTATGTGTGTTGCTATTCAGAGGGGGAGATGACGCCGCCGCCGGTGCAGCAGCAACAGCAACAACAACAGCAGCAACAGCAACAGCAGTTGCAGTTCTCCAGCGATTCAGTGGTAGATGCCTTGCTGTCGCTGTTGCAGCAGCGCCAGGCGCAACAGCACCACGACCCACAGCAGCAGCAGCAACAGCAGCAGACGCAACAGCAGCAGACGCAGCAGCCGCAGCACGAGCAGCAGCAGCAGCAGCTTGCCCTTTCGCATTCATCGGGCGTCTGGCAGGGCCTCACGCAGCAACACGGGTGCGGAGAGGGTGCTGATGAGACAGGGGATTCTCCGTTGTTGCTTTTGAAGCAGCAACAGCAGCAGCAGCAGGAACAACAGCAGCAGCAGCAACTCCTACAGCAGCAACACGAAACGGAGGGCGGCCAGCCACAGGCCATGATGCAGCTGCTGCAGCAGATGAGCGGCTGCGGGGCAGCGGCTCACGTGGCTCTTGCACTGCAGCAGCAGCAGCAACAACAACAACAACAGCAGCGGCAGCAGGAGGCGAACATTAAGCGTATGGCCGAGAGCCTTGGGCTGTTGGAGCTCGGCGATTTGGGCAGCAGCAGCAGCAGCAGCAGCAACTCGGCAGGTGGAGTGCCTCTAAAGGGGTCTCCCTCAGGAGGAGCTTTGAGTCAGCCTCCACCGCATGCCTCGCAACAGCAACAGCAGCAGCGGCAGCGGCAGCAGCAGCAGCAGCAGCAGGCGCATGCGGAGAAGGAGCAGCAACTGATGCTGCTGCGACCGTGCCCAAGACGCGGCAGCGAAGCCTCTGGAGAAACCCGCGGTAGCAATGGAGGCCGCCAGCGCCGTAGGAGAGAGAAGAGGAAGGAGGGGCGGTACTCTGTACCGGCAGCAGCAGGAGATATGGTAAGCTCAGCACCTACAGCGCTGCAGTTGTTGCTGCTGCTGCAGCTGCTGTAGTTGCTGCTGCAGAAGCGCTGCAAGGGCTACGCCTGTGGCTTCTTCTGAAGCTCCACCAGAAGCACACAGCAGCAAGATATGCTGCTGCACGATTGCAAAATTTGCTGCTGGAACTGCAGCAGCAGATCAGGGCGTGAAGCAAATGCGTTTGCCTGTGGAGGCCATTGTGGCTTGCGGGGTCTAGGGGTTCTATTGTTTATGGCTTAGGGTTTGGGGTTTAGGCTTTAGGGTTTAGAGTTTATGAGGCTGTGTGTGGTTTTTGTGACAAGTTCGAGGGAGCGGCGCTGTCGCCCAACTGCAGTTTGCTGCTGGAGGAATGCAGAAATAATGCTAGAGACCTCACACCCCAAGAACTCAGTTCAGTCCTTGTGCGTCATTGCTGGTGTTGCTGCTGCTGTTGTTGTTGCTGGTGTTGCTGCTGTTGCTTCTGCTGCCGCTGCTGCTGCTATTCCTGCTGCTGCTGTTGTGCTGCATCTCCACTGGTTTGCGTTTGCTGCTGATGCTCAGCTGGACTTCTCCACAAATGCTCTGGGGTCTAGAATTATTGTTCACCTGTTAGACAACAGCACAGATGAAGCGAGGAGGCTGATGCTGACGCAGCTGCTGCCGCACATCCGCAGCCTCGCTGCGGACATGGCGGGCAACTTCATCGTGCAGAAGCTACTCGATATCTGTACGGCAATAGCTTGCTGTTGCTGCTGTTGCTGCTGCTGCTGCTGGTCCTGCTTACATTGCCCACGCTGCAGCAGCACCAGCAGCAGCAGCTGCTCCTGCTGCTGGTGCTGCTGCTGCTGGTGCTGCTGCTGCCTTGTAGGGTGGCTTGTCCCCTAAGTGGGGCAGAACACGGGGCATTAGCAGCAGGAGGATGTTGCAGCTTTTCGTTCATATGGGTTACGACTATTGCTGCTGCCGCTGCTGCTGCTGCTGCTTTTTACCAGGCCCCCCTGAAGAGAAGAAGATGCTGCATGGCCAGATGCTGAAGGACGTGCTACGACTGTCTCTGCGCACTTATGGGTGCCGCGTTATCCAGAAAGCTCTTGACGTTCGTCGGTGCTGCTGCTGCTGCTGGTGTTGCTGTCGCTGCTGCTGCTGCTGCTGTTGCTGCTGGGCTAGTTGAAGCTGCTACGTTGGCGTGTGTGGTGGTGTACCGACACCTGCCAGGCCTCTGTTCACCCCAAGCTCTGCAGTAGCAGTGTACAGAACAAGGCAGTAGCGGGCGTGTCGTTTCTATCCACCAGGAGCAGCTGGCGCTACTGCTGCTGATGATGATGGTTCTGCTTCTGGGCAGCAGCAGCAGAACCTATGAGATTTGCACTCTTGCCTTGGCTTTCTTACCCCAGTTGCAACAGGCTGAGCTTCTACAACAGCAGGCTGCAGCAGCAGCAGCTGCTGCTGCTACTGTTTACCTTGATGCAGTGGCGCCTTTAGGGGCCTCATGCGTCGTTGCTGCGAGTGGCTGCTGCTGCTGTTTGTGTTTGCTGCAGGTCCTGGATGACGAAGAGAGAGTGGAGGTGGCTAGAGAGCTTGAAGGCAATGTTCTGACGTGCATAGGAGACCAAAACGGTAGGCAGAGCTGCTATCTCTTCTCTCATCGAGAGGACGTCTCCCTTCCCCTCTAAACGATGTATATTTCTTCTGTCTTGCGGTGCCTGTTGTTCCTTTTCTTCTTTGAATAATGCCTCTTGTCTCTCCTACGAGACATAGCTGTCTTCTGTCTCGTCGAGATCACGTTGCCTTTCTTCTGTCCCCTGTAGATGATGCAGCTTGTCTCCTTTCTCCTGCCTCCGCTAGGTGGTGTATCCTGGCTCCTGTCTTCTCTCTTGCCTATATAGTGCATCATTTCTTCTGTCTTACGTCCTGTGTAATTGACGTTTTCTGTCTTGGGCTTCCTGTAGATGATGTACTGTCTCCTGTCTCCTCGACATGATGTCTCCCCTGTCTTCTGTCTCCTCTATATGATATCTATCGTGTCTACTGTCTCCTCTAAATGATGTCTCGCGTGTCTCCTTTCTCCTCTAGATATTGTCCTCTCTCCCTGCTTTAGCAGCTGCAACGACTTTTGCGTTGCTCCCCATCTAATGGCATTTCTGCCTCTTTCGGGTGTCTGTCTCTTTCACTGTCTGCCTCTTTTGCTGTCTGTCTTTTTGGGGTGTCTGTGTGTCTATCTGTTCCGCTGACTCTGTTCTTCCCCTCCCTTTTGGCCCGCGTTTCTCGGGGGCAGTTCCTTAGTTTCCTCAGTTTCCTGTTTGCATGCGGCTGTTGCGCTGCTGCTGCTGGTGCTGCTGCTGCTGCAGGCAACCACGTAATCCAGAAGTGTATTGAGAGACTGCCCAAGGGAGGGGCCCAGTTTATCCTGGACGCCATAGCTGGACAGGAGGCGGCTCTGGCCTCGCATTGCTACGGCTGTCGTATTATTCAGAGACTGGCGGAGGCCTGCGATGTAGAGCAAATTGTTAGTGGTTACGCAGCAGCAACAACGAATTCAGCAACGAGAAACTTCATCTAGACAGATCGTTCCCTTCAGTCCCCTGCCTCAGTTTCTCTCTGCCTCTGTCTCCTCCTCACTGCGACTGCCTCATGACTTTCTTTCATTGCCCTTCAGGGAGGGCAGCTGATTCTCCATCTGTCTCCTTTTGATGCTTCATGCGGTCTTCTTTCTTGCTGCAGACACCTGTGCTAGACGCAGTCATGGCCTCCCTGCCTTCTCTAGCCGAGGACCAGTTCGGCAACTATGTAATTCAACACCTCCTCGAATACGGCAGGGAGAAAGACAAACAGTGAGCAGCAACCCACCGCGAGTCGCAGCAGCGGCAGCACCAGCAGCAGCAGCAGCAGCAGCAGCAGCAGCAGGCAGTGCTGCAGCATTCAGCATGCTGGAGGAGCGAGTTGATTCCCCATCGCTTCAGTGGCGGGCGGCTTTCTCTAATTGGGGAGTACAGCTTGTTTTGTCTCTGTTACGGAATATAGTATTATATTATTTCAGTATATTATTATATGATTATGATTGCATGTGTGCATATTACTGTGGCAGTATATCATTCATATAGAACTGTTAAGGAAAAATATTATTAAAAAATGTGCTATCATTCTAATATAATATATCTGCATTGAGATCCCCAGAGCCTCCGGGTCTTTCTGTTGCCTGGCCCTTCGAGGTGTATGGTGCGGCTATGGTATTCTGGGGTGTATACACAGCTCCTCCTGTTGTTCTCGTTTTCTGCGCTGCTTGTAGGGAGATTCTGGAGCTGCTAAAGGGGAACCTCTCTAAGCTGGCGACACAGAAATACGCGTGGTGAGGGGCCCTGCGCCGGTCTGCTGTTATGCAGGGGCTTGGGGATAGGCAACAAAAGAAGAAAGAATAGCAGACAATACAGGCACCAGCAAGCAAAAGGGAGAGAAGGAAAGGCTGACGTTCTGTGCTGCTGTTCTTCTTGTTGTGCTGTATCCTGCAGCAACGTCGTTGAAAGGGCCTTAAGCCTTAACACCCTCGGCAGGGCCCAGGCGGAGTTGATTGCTGTTGCTCTCAAGCCGGACCCCCAGTACGTAGCCGATACCCCGAACTTCCGCTGCTACCGCTGCTGCTGCTGCTGTTGCTGTCTGTGCTACCTAATCTGCACCACGCCCGCCTGCACGCATGCAGATGAGGGAAGCATGAAGCACATTTCGAAAGGCCTGGACACGTGCGAGGGTGAAGGAAGTGGTTGGGTGCTATACTGGTGGCCTTGAGAGCTTTGTCAGGGCTTGGGACTGCTGTGCATTGTTTGCCTGCATGCATGCATGCATGTGATTGCACAGGAAAGGAGCACCCGTTACGGCTTTGATGCTGGACCGTTACGGCAACTACGTCGTCCAGCGAATGGTAGAAGTTGCCGAGGGGCAGCAGCGCATACAACTCTTCCACCGTCTTCTAGAGCAGCTGCCGCTTCTCCGCAGCTGCACGTACGGTGAGCAGCGGCTGAGCGCATGTCAATGACATGCGAATGCGTGTGGGGCCTCACAGTTGCTGCAGAAGCTTGTGGCGGGGAGGGAGGGGCATATTCTGTGTTTTAAGCAGCAGCAGCGCCAGTGGAGAACCCTTTTCACCGAGTTGGTTCTCTATCCGTATGTTTGTGCGTGCTGGATTGAAGCTGTTGTGGGTGATATGGGTGCGTTGCTGCAGGCAAACACATTGTAGCGGCTTTGGATCGTATGGATATCAGCGGCAGCTGCGCAAATGAAGCAGCAGGAGCTGCTGCTGCAAACGGCGCAGCGCCCGTGCTGCCGTTGAGGCGCCGCGGGTCGACACTGCAGCCGCAGCAGCAGCAGCAGCAACAGCAGCAGCAAACAGGGCTTGCTTCTTCTCCCGCAGGTCGGCGCAGGACTGTGCCCCAAGACCAGCGCAGTCAGCGCCAGGGGAGGAAGCAGCAAAACTCCTCCCCCAGAACATCAACCCGGCCAAAGGCAGCGAAAAGTGAGGGGGGAGCACAAGATATATTGGGTGGGTTGGTGGACCGCAGCCTTCCCAGGGATGGGCGCGGCTCAAGAAAGCCCTCAGGAGCGCAGCGCAGTCTTTCTATTACAGCTGCAGGAGGCTTAACTCTGCAGCAGCAACAACAACAGCAACAGCAGCAACAGCAGCAGCAGCTGCTGATGATGTTGCTGGAAGGGAGGCGGGATTGTATGCCTTCCACCCAAGCAGCGGAGACTGGCCAAGGCCAGGAACCTTTCAGTATACGGCCTAAAGGCGTCTCTTCTATGGCAACTGCTGCTGCGAAGCTGTTGTTAACAGACATCCCGCAGCAGGCGCATGCAGCAGTGCAGAATGCAGGTGGTGTGGATGGTTTGGGGCTGTTGGCTGATCTGCCTTGCAGCCCTACACTTATGGGGTTCAAGAACCCGCGACTTCCTGCTGCTTCAGTGGCCGATTCGTTTGTCTTTGGAGGCGTCAACAGTAGCGGAGGTGCGGGATCACCCCCCAGACACCAAGCCTTGTCCAACCTGCTAGGAATATGGGGTGCACAGCAGCAGCAGCAGCAGGTGCAGCAGCAGCAGCAGCAGCAGCCTTCCCTGTGCAGCAGTGGAGACGCCGGCGCCCCCGAACTGTTCGAGGGACCCGTAGGCGAACAAACAGGCAGCCCTGCTGGCAGGCGAGATGACTGGAAGTGGGGACAGACTCCTTTGTTCTTTCACCAGCCGACCCCCCCTTCTTGGTAGGCCTCACTGCCGCTGCACAGATGCAGCTAAGAACAGCTGTTCGCAGCCACCGTCAAGAGGAAAGTAACTGCGGCAACACTGCGCCCCCAGCAGCAGCAGCAGCAGCAGCATTTCTCAATGTGGCAACGATAGTAGCTGGAGGGGCAACAGCAAGCCCAGCAGTAGCAGCAGTAGCAGGAGCGGAGAGAGGGTCCTTATGCGTCGTCTGGGACGATGATCGAGGGACCCCTCGGCATGCAGCTGCATCAGAACAGCATGATAGACAATCGAGGCTGTGGGTTGTATTTCAGTGGTCCAGGCTGTTGCGTAGCCGCGCAATAGAGAGATGGCGACATTCTCTACAGCGCCAGCATGTGCTGGGACCAGAGCAGGTTTATTATTATCGTGCCCTCGGTGTCTGGGCACATAGTGACAGTGATGACAGCATTTAAACGAAGTCACTTGGAAGCGTGTAGGCCCTGATGCCTTCTCGAGTTAATTCATTTGTGTCATATGTTGTGGGAAACGGCCACAAGGGAGATATATATGCCCTTGATGTGGCCATACGTGTTCATATCCTCGAACCCAAAGAAAGACAAAAAACAACCGCGGGGTGCAGGAGCGGTGGCAGGTGCCAGCGTCGCGCGGTTTTCATGCAGCGGCATCTCAACCGCTTCCTCATGTCTATGTTATCTGAGGGTATCATTCCCAGCTTCTTGCTAAAGAAGTAGCAGCAGGTGCAGGAGCTGCTGGCGATCCTAGCGGTCCTACCTCTCCCGAAGTTTGATGATATTGTCCCTTCTGCTGTTACTGTTAATTGTATTGTTTCGACTTCTAGTGCGAGTTTGTTTGTTGGGGCTTGGAGACAGCACGTGCTGCGGTAGCGCGTCCTCCCAATGCTCTGTCCTTGCACAGGGGACCTATACATATTATTCCTCGTGCTGATTTTATTGCGCAAGGCCCCCCCTCCCCCTTTGTTGAGTCTTGTGTAGTAGCGTCCCGCCCCGTTGAAGATGGGGTCTTGTGTGTATACTTGCGTGATCTCCACTGAAAGAGTGGATGGCATGTGCCGTGTAGAGAGCAGCAGAAGAGCTGCTTCAATTCGCTTTTCCCTGACATCGCTTGCTATCAGAGGTGTCCTGTGGCTAAGACCATCAGCCAAGCCGGCGAGGCAGCCGATGGCACACAGCTATGGGGTGAGAGCCTGTTCGCCCCAAGGCCCTCATACATTCTTGCCTTCGTCCCTCTGATGGTCTCAGTCAACAACGAACAGATTCATATTTCACAGCAGTGCTGTGCCTCTAGAAAGGCTGCAGCTGGCGGCAAGGGACCAAGATGTGGTTGCATGATTTTGTTGTGCATGCACTCTGGCGCAGTTGCGAGCCCAAGTGCGCTGCCGAGATGCAGGTCTCATACAGGTAGTGGCAGCATCTCGCAGGGACGTGAGCCTTCCTTCGCTTGCGGGGCAGCCGCCTGAAGGGTGTTGCAACGCGGGCAGCCAAAGTGCAGCTGTCTCTTGTTTTACAATGTGGCCTCCGGGCGGGACCGTAGCCCTCTTTGAAGTGATATTCTCAGGTGTTGTTTAAACCTTTGTCATTTGTCGAACACTTGCTGTCTGCCCTTTCTCATTTCACCTGACACAGATCAGTGAGAGGATGGAGCAGACTACGCTAGGAGAGAACGAATCGTGAGCTCAGTCAGGCCTCTACAAATCGATTAGAGGGGAGCAGCTCCTTATGGGCATAACGGACCTGTAGTGCATTAGCGAAGACTAGCAAGAGTGACGATGCTATTGGAATGACAGTGCTTTGGCACTGATAAGGCTGCCCGTGCTACTCAGGGCTAGAAGATTGATCTCCTCCTAGTGTGGGTACAGTACTCAGCAGCAGTAGTATTATGCCTAGACCAACACTCTACAGGATAGGATATGAAGCCCCTGATGTTGTTAAAGACTTAAAGCGTAACCATGGGGCATTACGTTGCCACAGTGGCCATTGCTGCTACTTCCACGTGCCCCTTCTTTTTCTACATCGGAGCAGCACTAACCAGCTGTTCGAACGGATGCACTCCAGAGATACAAACTTGTGATATCTGCCAGTTAGCCTAAAAAGAAGCTTTCAACATGCCAATGCATTCCATAGTGATACTTTCTGCGGATAAAGTCTTGTCTGCAGGGCGAAACACTTCTGCAAAATAGTTGACATGAAACAACCGTTCAATACAGGGGCGTTCTTTTAAGCTCACGTATAGTTCCTTTGTCAGCGCTCTTCTCCTGTACAGTAGCATGAAGCAACTCTACGAAGCAGGCGAATAATTCCCGAAGTGTTGTCCTTGTTTCTTGTATATATTCAAACATAATCACAATGCCTTCAGACGCCGTTGATTGATGTTAAACCTCCCTGGTGCTAAGTAAAGCTGTCATCTGCATCCCCACTTGTCTTGTTCCCCCCACACTTTAACAGCGCATAGTTGATGGGAGAAAATAGATTATGAATGTCGGGAAACTGATTAGAAAAACTCGGGAAGAGGATCTTAATTAGAAGCTGAACATGAAGGGTTCGAGCGATCAAAGTTGGCCCGTTCCTGCTCTCCGTGGGAACTGAATACGACGTTGTGAGCACTAGCGTTCATGCACAATAAACTTGTGATGACTCGGTTACACGCAAATCCTTTTGTGAAGAGTAAATGCAGCACGCAACCCCCCACCTACTTCTCAAGTGCAACCAGCCTTCCTCCCTTCGGCTAGGGCTTAGGGCTTAGGGTTTAGGGTTTATGGTTGAGATTTGGAGCCAGAGTTTAGGGTTTAGGTTTTATGGTTTAGGTTTTAGGTCCTAGGGTTCAGGTTTCTGGGTTTAGCGTAGGGGGGCTTCGAGTTCCTTATGTATGGATAGTAACGAAGGTTCACTCGAGAAGATACACCCGTGGTACCATAGAGCAGTATCCGGTGGCACACGCTGCCTCTGTGCTTCATTTGCGAAAGCGTTAACGCCTTCTTCTCAGCTCTATGCGTCTACTACACCCTATGCGTGCACCGGCGAGTGAGGCACAGAACGAGTGGCGCTCCCTCCCTGTCCTCCTTATACAGACAAAGCGAATGGCGCTTTGCTTGGGCTTAGAAGACGAAACTGATGCACTAAAAAACGGAAGAAACAAGACAAGGTGACCTACGCAGCGTGCCTTTGGGAGGCGTGGCGTCTCCTGAGGCGAGTATTAGCTAAAAACCCATCCAGCAATGGAAGGGAACTAATAAGGCAATGCATTAACAACAACATGATGATGAGGATCAGCAGCTAAGCCTGTTCCTGAAGAGCATCTACCGTTTCTGAGCGCGCGAGCGAAGAAATGGAAGAAGCCCGTATCTACTCTGAGCGCGCTGCATGTGCGCCGGTTAACGAGGCATGTAAGAACATCTGCACCAGCATTCACTTAAATGAGTTTTTCTCTTTTCAAAGAAGCTAGAAGAAAACCTCCAGCTGTAGCAGGGATCCTCTCCAGACCAGTCGCTGCTGCTGCCTACAGCGCAGCACAGCAGCGGGGTGGGGGAGAGCAGCCAAGGTTATGGTTAAAAGAGAGAGTCCTGCGGCTTTGTGTTTTTTGGTGACTGTTTGCTGATTTGTCTGAGGCTTTTGTGGGCGTCTAAGCAGCTACTAAGGCTAAACCACCGCTGCCTCTAACGGCAGCACGCCTCCCCACTCAGGGGCCGCTGCGTGCGTTGTTGATGCGTCTGAAGTTGCTGCTGCTGCTGCTGCTGCAGCTGTTGCTCCTTCAACGCACTTCTAGCCCTCCATACGGCTCAACAGCAGCAACAACCCTGAGTCTGGCGGTTCGCTGAGCGACAAGACAGCAGCGGGAGGCCCGGGTTGTCTCTAGTGGTTGCTGCCTCAGAGGGAGCGAGTGGCTGCTGCTGCAGCTGCTACTGCCGCTTGTCCTGCTTGCTGCTGCTCGAGGTCACTATCAGATCAGGCGCTTCGCAGGAGGAGCAGGGGAGTCCAAGAAGCGCGAGCCAACACAGCAGCAGCACCCAATGAGTAGGGCTATGAGTAGTATAGGCGCGAGCAACAGATAAAAGGGGAGAGGGATACAGCAGCACGTTCTCTAGTTGCTAATGAAGTTCCCCAAAGAAAGCCGCCCGCGAAGGACACCCCATAGAGACCCCTCGAGCAACGCGTCCCTGGTACGCGTCCCGTGTACGCCTGACAGCAGTAAAAGCTGCTGCAGTAGCAGTAGCATGGAAATGGTAGGGGAATCCATTGCTACACGAGGCGCGGAGAGCGCAACACGGGGCAGCTGCACCTGCGAAAGGCCCAACCCTACGTCTCAGGAGCAGCAAAAATTCCAGCAGCAGCAGCAGCACAAACACAAACATCAACACAGACGTCAGCAATCACACAAAGTTGGGCGTCATTCACAGGCAGATGGCATCCCTTCTCAGCTCGTGGGGAAGGCTGGAGATGGGGGCGTGGCAGCCAGGCTGCAGCGGCAGCATGAGCAGCAGACGAAGCAGCAGCAGAAGCAGCAGCTGTTGGCTGCGTTTGCACATAGAAGTGCCCCGTTGGCGGATTCTGCGACGACTCGAGAGGCCAGTACAGCGTCCCCATCGTCACGCTCAGCAGCAGCAGCAGCAATAACAACAGCAATAGCAACAGCAACCGCAGCGTCGGAGGAAGCAGGTTATGCGGGACCGGAGAGGAGTCTTCAGCTGGCACCATCTTTTGAATTTTCTTGTCGCGATTTCGACGCCTCTTCTCCTTATGTGCCAGTTGCGCTATTAGGCAGAGGCGCCGTAGGCCGCGTGTTTCGCTGCACCGAACGGTCATCGGGTGATAGCGTTGCTGTTAAGGTGGTGTGTTTGCTTCTGTTGCTGCTGCTGCTTCTGCTACAGACACGCCGCTGCTGCATGCTAGCATTCCCTGCTGCAATTGTGGCTGGACACGAAATCAGTGCCGTGGCAGCACGGGTTTCGCTCTGCGGCTGCTGCTGCTCTTGCTACTGCAGGTACTGGTGCTGCTGCTGCTGGAGGTGTGTGTTTCTGGGTTTGTTGGGTGTTTTCAGGTGTACAAGCGCCCATTGCGTTCTCGCAGTCGGCTGCGTCGTCAGGTGTTGATAGAGAAGGAGGCCCTGGTGGCTTTGAGTGCAGGGGGTCGCTCGGTGCATCCGAGTGTTGTTCACTTAAGGCGCACGTATCAGACAGCAGAGAGCCTTTATTTCGTGTTACATTATGCAGGAGCAGCATCGCTGCGGGACGTGCTGCGGCGACTCAGCTGCGCGGGCCTCAGCTTGTCTGTCGGGGCAGCAAGGCTGTGGGCTGCTGAAATTGCTGCTGCGCTCGCAGCCATGAGAGGAAGAGGAGTGCTGCACAGAGACATCCGACCCGAAAATATTGTTGTCAGTCACGAAGGCCATCTTACACTTGTCGACTTCGACTCTGCTCTCTGTCTAGCCAACCCGCAGCAGCAGCGCTGGCAGCAGCAAAAACAGCAGCAGCAGCAGCAGCAAAAACAGCAACAGCATGGGGAGGGAGCGAACTGCCATCATGGGCAGAAACAGCACCTCCAAAGAGAGCAGCACTCGCAACAGAAAGAGGGGGCTGAGAGGTTGATGTTTGCTCCTCCGGAATTTTTGTACCCAAACACTAGCAGCAGTAGCAGTAGTAGCAGCAGCAGCAGTAACCTGAGCCGAACCAGCAGAAACAGGTGTGAAAGCGAGCCAGGTCGCCTGCGGGATGACTTGGAGTCTCGTAGTTCGGGGGATAATGCTGTGATGTATCCGTATGCGGGGACAGCCGCCTATGCACCTCCAGAGCTTTTTGTTCCTCTAGACGTAGAAGGGGAGGCAGCAGCGCAGCAGCAGTTCGGTTGCGGCTTCGGAACAGACTGTTGGTCCCTGGGTTGTGTGGTGCACGAGTTGCTGCTAGGCGAGCCACCATTCAAAGGCCATTCGGCGCCCGCTCTTGCCAGGGCAGTTTGTGGAGAGCAGGAACTGTCGCTGCCGCCACAGCTGCCTGCTGCTGCAGCAGACCTTATACGAGGACTGCTGCGCCCGAAGGAGGAGGAACGACTGGGATCGAAGAACTTGAGGGAGCTGCTTGAACATCCCTTTTTCAACGGGATCGATTGTATGGCTCTGCACTATCATCCGCTGCCCATAGACGTAATGCAGTACGCCTTTGCATTCCAGGAATCAGGACAGGGCGGCCGAGCAGCAGCAGCAGCTGCTGCAGCGGCAGGCGTTGGCTCAGCCACGTTTGGTGGAGATGAAGCAGATGCAGTGGCAGCAGTGTCTGCTGCTGTGCTTGATGCCGAGCTCACGCCTTCGATAGGTTGCCCCTTCTCTCCTTTGAAGTCTGCAGCAGCGGACAGTGCACACGTCTGTGTCTGTTGCGACAGCAGCAAGACCTGCGTGTGCTGCGGAGGGGATCCTGACGCTGTCCCGATATCTCCAGGGCCGAGCCTCAGCAGCAGCACCACCCAAGCGGTATCAGGGGAAGCTGCTTTTCACGGTGCACCCGCTGCGTGCCAGTGGAAGAGGATGAGCATTGGGGGTTGCAGGGATGGTACAGCCGTGCAAGAGCAACAGGAGCATGGTTTGCAAGAGGAGTCTGATGCGTTGTCTGTGTCGCGGTCGGAGTCCACAGAAGAGCCGCGGGCCGCCTGCCGGCGCGCTGTGACTGATGCAGTTCTTGGCTGGGGCCCTCCGTTGCGCCTGCGTCCCGTCTCGAGTGCAGACTATACGGAGGCAGATGGTGACGGCCCTTTCCGAGCAGCAGAGGGAGCTTCAGGTGGGCACGGGAGCGGTGCAGGAATCGAAGGCTCCTTGCGGGTAGGTTCTGTGGCATGCAGCAGCATGCCCTCCTCCGAGGGCTTACAGCTATCCGGACTGCCCAGCACAAGTTTCCGAGATGCTCAGGGGATTCCAAGAGGCAATAGCACACTATCCCAGGACACCCCACCGCACGTGGCAAAGTGCTTGCTGAAGGGGGAGAGGATGCAGTATCACGGGGTCCTCCTGCGTATGAGAGGTGAGACAAGGAGCTTCTGCGATGCGGTGTGTGTGGATGCTTTCCTGAGCGTGTGATTTTTGGTCATGTACTGATGCTTGAACGTGAAGAAATGCATTGGCAAGCTGCACCGGAACATCTCGTTCGGGTGCTCGCCTGAGGTGCAGGGTTGGAGTGTGCGCTGACACCTTTGCAGAACACAGAAGCTTTTGTGAGCGGCTGTTCATTCGCTTGTTTGGGAAGGGCCACAAGAGAAATTGCCAGTTGCAGCCGCAGCGCTGCCTCGCCGTACTGACAGACACAGGGAGATTGCTGCTGATGGACCCAAACGGCAGGACACTCCGAGTAATGCTACACGTTACACAGGACCGTAGCGTGTCGATGGAGGGAGGTCTTAGCTCAGGATGAATACAGAGAAGTGCAGAGGCAGAACCACAGGGGAGCAGTTGCCGCACGCACAGCCGCTGAGGGAATATTAGTGTGGAGATCATCACGTAAAGCAATGCGGCAAGAGGCTTACTCTAGTTCCCTGCAAAAGAAGAACAGTGCGGCTTAGTGAAATGTTCCAAATGCTTGCATGATGTTCTTTGTATTATGGCTTGCACAGAAAACAGTCGTCCTGGCAACCGACGGCGAAATATACACCGAAGGAAAGGACATGTTAATATACTCTAGTGTAAAAGACAACTGTTACTTACTGTTCGCGTCAGAGGAAAACACTGTATCCGTGTGGGCGCGTTTCCTGGCGGTATCTGTAGATGTAAGCCTTTTTCTCTGCAGCTATATGACGGACTTCGTGATGCGTAGTCTTAGATTCACGATTGCTGCGTGGACAGCAGCTGCTGCGCTGTTGTGGCCTAACGTCTTTGCGCTGCGTTCCGTCATTGTTGCGCGCAGAGCCTACGATGTAGAGGGACGTCCGGTAGGCCTCTGTGTGCGGCATGTGGGCAGCGAACGAACACGGATATACATGGGACCCCACCATTGCAGGCTTTGTCTCGTGGCAAGTTCGCTTCGCCCCCAGCGCCAAGGACTCAGGACAGAGGACCGGTTGCGTCTCCATCGTGGGATGCACTCGTTGGGTCACGAGGGAGGCCGTCGTGCAGGGCATCCTCTATCGAAGGCGCGTCTGTCCCAACTGCTGCGACGGCCACAGGGCGGCCATGGCGAGACCGCAGCAACACGGTCTCACATTGCCAGAAGCAACCGCCGAGATGGCAGCAGGAACGGATACGCTCCCGACGAGGAAGCGCTAGGTTGGCGTCTCCACCCTCATCTGCGCAGAGCCAAAAGCTCCGGCGCCCTCAATCTGAGGGACCCACCAGGCGTTACGGAAGTTATCTTTATGGCTCATATGACTTAAGGAGTAAGGTTTGAGGAGCCAGAGAAGAAAAGAAAGCACGAGTTTCACGAGGTTTCTTAACGTGATTCCTGCGCCCTCCGCTCAAGTGGTTCAAGGGGATTACGGCTGATTATCCAACCGTTCTGTCAGTCTATTCGCACTGACATTTTCTGCGTTTATCCACCGAGGAGTTGACGAGCATGCTCTTCCACAGTATATACCTTCACATACTGCTCAGAGTAGTGAGGTGTTTGCGCCCATGAGGTACGGAGCGGCCGCTGGTGGACGGGCAGAAGTGCTATTGTAGATGCAGGATGGCCTTTTGAGCGCATGGCGGGCGCATTGATGCGTTTGCATGTGTATTCGAGTTTGCGTTACTATGAACGCATTCTTTGGGATGACAGAATGTTTTGCCGTCGCGTAGCGGCGTGGGAATACCACTATGGATGCAGTGTTTTACACGCCGTGAGTGGGCAAAGTCTTTCATTGCAGGTAGAAACGTAAGGGAATGATGTTTTTTTGGAAATATCCATAGAGGAATATCGCAGGTAGTTTCTGATTCGAGCTGTAGTGTACGTATGCGAATGGGTGTACCGTATGGCCTTTCACCCAACACGTATTTTTTCGTTTTCCTCTAACCTGCACTCACCGGTGCCGAACTGCCGCTTATCACGCTGCTGATAAGCGGTTCTTCTGTACTTTAGAACAGCCTGGACGGGGTTGACGTTGCTGCAGATACCAGTGGATGAGCGGGCTGAGCGCTGCTTGTTCACTGCTGAGTTCACAGACAGGATATTAGCGAGGTTGGAGTTCAAGCCGAATGGCACTTGCAAATAGACAAGCTAGATTTAGGGGTCTTCGTGTGCGCATCTTTGGGATGCTCTCGTGCAAGCCCCTCGACGCACGTGCAGCAACTGACTGCTGCGGAGGAGTGGACAGGAATGAAGAATGCAAAGGTGCTTGCGCCAAGCATGAGAGCTGGCGCAACGCACCTCCCACTGCAGTCCCTACGCCGCTTCTCCTAACTTTTCGTAGGAACGGAACGGGAAGATGTGTGCGGGCGCACTACCTTAAGGCATTTCACCGCGGTTTGATCACCGCATTTCCATTATTGAGCAATTCTTCGTCTAACGTTTCTGGGGCTGCTGTGAGCAATGCGACCACCTGATGTCATGCATCTTTGTCAAAGTCGAACTTTGCCCTGGCCAATTCCGTGGGTTTATATCTCTGGGAAAGACGCAAATCGCTTAACGCCTAGGCTAAGCTATTTCCACTCCGGAGGTAGACGCAGGTGACATAGCCGCATGTCACCTTGAAGGCAACCCGGTACGCCTTGCGTAGAACACTGGAGTGGGTGGAGCCCCACTTCTGCTATTTATACCGCCTGCATTATGCCGATGCATACTCGTGACGCATGAGCTAGTCTCATTGCGGTAGGTAGCATAGGGATAAGCCATACACCCGTGTATTGCACGCGTGCCCATGCAACGCAGATGCGCTGCCAACGACTAGAGCTTGCCGTTGCCTTGTTCGTGTGGCTGTGGGGCTCCGATTTGCAGCACAACCGGACTGGGCAGGAATCTCACTTACTGTACAAATGGAGGTAACACTTGGGAAAAAAGAAACTGCAACGTGGATCAGCAGTGTACAACAGAACCGGATGAGAACAAAGACACTCAAAAACACGATAGCGGGTCGGCGGCAACGCAGCTGCAGTGAGGCAGAAAATACACTAAGCAGGATCCATACGTGTGTTCCGCCGTCATCTGTCTCGAAGGGCACGCCATACTACTCGGTCATATCTGTGGAGCTCTTGAACGTCTTCATTAAATATCGAGCCAAAAGTTGCCTTTGCAGCCAAAGGTTAGAGTCAGTATTTGCAAGCGTGCCCCTTAATTCATAGATGCCAGCCTAAAGCTTGGTCGTCATAACTTGGCTCGTGACGACCTTCATCATAACCGGTGGTGGGGAACGCTACGCAGGATCATCGCCGCTGCTACTATGGACAAAACCGCACGCCTGCCACACTGGTGGAGCAAAACATTTTCACTGCTAGGAAAGCAAGTAGCCAGCTCTACCTACACCACTAGCAAATCCGCTTCTAGTTGCCGGGTCTCCGTTCAAGTGCATTACGACATACCACAAGCGTCCACGCACCAGAAGTACCCACGAGTAGGTTTGTCGCAAGCCAATATTTCATGCAACAGGCACCATCCGCAGCACAGGTACCAGGATGAAAGCAACGCGGGAACAGCGCAAAAAATAACCACCAGATAAACACCTCTGCAAAAGCACTTCGCGCTTAGTCTGTTTCTACGTGCAAGAAGTGCTCGTCTTGCACGCCTTGTGCCGCCATCTTGTGTCACGTGCTACCGATAAAACACGAACTCATTTGCAACGATTCGCACTGCTTTCTCTTAAACACTATGGGTAGGCTGTGTGTTGGCTTCAAGCTATGCAGCATCTTTTGCTTCGAGGTGCAGCACAGCGGTGGACGCAATGCGTGTGCAGCCCGCAGCCAAAAAGACCGAATGAACGCGACTTCTAGTTATTGTGTGAATACACCAACATCCCTGGCATCCCTGATGGGCGTCAAGCAACTGCCTCTGCACATAAAATAAAAGAGCTGCTTGCATCCAGCGAAAACATACCATACTTCGTATAGCTTTCAAAGCTGAAGTCCATGGCATCGTCGCCTACGCTTTCCAAGAATGTCTGCCTTTCCTGTCGTCCTGAGTCGCTGGCATGGTGAATCGGCCTGTCTGTTGTGGACAGGACAAAACTGTCGGAAAGCAGTCGAAACTGGAGTGGGCCCATCGGGCACAGCCTGTAAACTACGCATCCGGCGAGTGGCGGTGTCGTTTATTCCTTCCGAGTGCCCGCGCGTCTGCTTTAGTATGAGGAATCAGCTTACTTCCTGTGTACCCTATGGGTTTACAGCCCTTTTCCTATACCGTCAAAAGAAAGGCTGACCCCACCAGGTAAAATCGAGAAACGATTCCCATGCCGAACTGAAACTCGGTTGCCTCAACATATTTTCACGGACCGTCCTTACCGGGAAAAGCACATGCAAAAGCTTCAGGCTATTTCTTAACTCATGACTAGTGCTAACATGGTTTTGTGAATTGAATACGCACACTCTATACCGCAACAGATAGTAGCTGGTTACACGGTCAGAGACGCAACACCCGTGGGCCTCGCAAACCTAAGGCAACAAGGCACAAGCAACTACGCAAGCCGTGCACTTCACGCATATATTTCAGGAGAGAAAAACACAAGAAGTGCTTGTCATGCAACATCACTGCAAGCTGGAGCAGCAACATTAGCGGCCTCAAAATGGCCATTGTATTGAAGAAACTTAAGAATGCCAGTGATAGGCTTGTTGCCATACTGCAGCAAGCTTAGCCTTGGTCCAGGCACAATGGCGGCTACCCTCAACTGGAAACGAAACTCTCATGCTCCCCCAGCTGGTCAAACCGCGCAAGCAAGAAAGCTCCTAGTGCGCACATTGGGTCGACGACTGTTTTCTCGGGTGCGATAACTCAACTGACACCACCGATGATCCTCTCCACCAAGCACAGCGATTCCCGTATACAGCATGATCTCCAGCACTGTTCCAGTGCGACCAGTTGCTCAACAGCTCGTCGAAGGGCACTAGGCCTCCACCAGTGTTCATATTTGGCTTACTCAAGGTCTTTAAAACTCACCTCCTAGAGCGGCGAAGATACGTTGATCAATCGGTGGTGGAACTGAACGTTTGAGACTGCCGGCACCTATGCATTAGTCCAACCAAGATCGAGCCAACGCAAAACCTTGCACACAAAGAAGCGTACCTCCTGAGCAGTTCACCCGAAATCCTTCCAAGTGAAGACCCTAAGTAAATAGTAAGCTATATCTTAAACCCTTCCCCGAGGGTACTGAAGGCGCAGCATCCAGTGGTGACCAGCATTCTTTGAGTCACTGCACGACTGCAAGAAGCCAGTTCACTCACACCAGGACTGCTGTCAGCACGCATCCAAAACAATCCAGGAACAAAGCAAGACCTCCGCATTGTAAAGAAACTCGCGTAACTGTTCAAAGGCGAAGCGCACTTCCTGTCCGATGGGCCTAATA